CTCCATTTAATATCAACTGCGCCGACTCACCAATTTTGCCGGTACGCAGGATTAGGGCAAATACCGAGCTACTGTGCTCACTTACTACTTGTACATTTCTGACTGTTTGTTCGACACTGTGTACCTACGGACGTAGCAAAATAAATACACATAATGCAAGTATTTGGGAAAGCCTCTTGAATTCGTTAATTTCGCTTAAGTGAGTGAAGTTGTAAATGGAGTGGCGATAAAGTTGAATGAAGGCATGTAAATGTTTGTATGCGTGGATTTATTTAAGAAGAGTAGGAGAAGAAACTTCACTTTTGTTGTACACAATGTTCACGATGATGATGATGTTGTTGATGAAGATGGATGAGTTTAAGTGGAATTTATTAATTCAGGTATTATTTGTTGGAGAGCATTTTATTTAGGTAGTACGTCTGTTGGGGCTTGGTGTTAGTCTACAGTTATGAATTTAACACACATGTCATTGAGAAATGCTATTAAGTTTGCTAATATACAGTAATATAAGGGATGCACTTTTTATACGTAAGTTTTAAGACTTATGAAAAAATCTGTGTCCATGGAAATCCATCATCTTGTTTTTGCTGTTTCGAATTACATATATATATATATATATAGATTAAGTATTATTATAGAGTTGGTAAATTTAAAGGATTTTAAACACAGTTCATTTAACTACTAGCTGATAATTTACAGAGAAGGGCTATTTTGCGTAGGATGTGTGCTTTTGGTGCATATGTATGTGTGTATATAGGATAGGCAAATTTTGATGTATTTTATTTTGCTGGTATATTATTTTTATACCTTGAAGCCTAATCAACTTTAAAAATATATGTGTATAGTAACTAGGGGGTATTCCGTTTAAATCACTCCAGGACCGGCCGCAGGATTTCTCTTTAGGGGGGAGGTTTGATGTAAAGTCTATAATTCAGCACAACTCAAAGAAAAGTCACATGCAATTCACCGAGGTAAAGATAAAGATTATTTTAATATTGAGTCAACATTGACATCCAGATTGCGATGAATATTGAGAAAAGCTCAGGCTTCATAAAGAAGTGTCATTGACATTGATTATTGTGTTACACCAACTGTTTATTGAATTTGTGTACAAAAATATATATTTCTCTTGATTCCAGAAAATTATAAAAATAATAAAATATTATAAAATTCTTAGCACCAATAGCTGACACTACGAGAACAGAAATAAGCCACAATACTCGCTAGTGTAGTTTTTTAATTTTGTACCTTATAAAAAATAAATAATAATCATTCAAAATTTAAAAATAAAAATACATTTTTAAAACAAAAACGTGTAATGCGTAAAACGTAAATTTCATAAAGTGCACGCAATCGAAATCCAATGCATACTTTTTGAAACACATATTTATTAGTTTCCTTTCACAGAATTCATTTGTGCTTGAATCGCTATTTTAAATTACTCTCGCCTTTTTTTTAAATAGGTGGTAACCATTAGCCGCTGAATCCACATCCGCAATACCATTCGTTCCCCTAATTGCAAGGAAAAACAATGTTGTTAGGCTATTTTAGTAAAAAAGTTTTACGGATATCTTAAAATTTGTTTTCGTTATTTATGGCTTTTTAACAATTTTTATTGAGCTTCAGGTCGTTGTCTGTCAGGTCAGGTATCTGTCCGTCCGTTTGTCCGTACACGATAACTCGAGCAAAAATTTAGATATCTCAACGAAATTTGGTATGTAGGTTGCCCTTTATCCAAGGTAGGTTGCTATTGAAAATTTGGCGAAAGCGGACAGTAACCCTCCTTCTCATATAACGGTATTTTCGAAAACTGCAAAAACTGCTATATGGCAGTAAATACTGGATTCAAATTGTTGAAAATTAATACGTGAAGTAGAATTTTGATGAGAAATAATATTATTATGAAATTTTTGGAAAAGGGACGAAACCCCGCCCACTTATGATGAAATACTGTATCTTAGTAGCCGCTTCAGCAATCCTTACCAAACTCTGTACGAGCCTCGCTTAGGATCCAGCTAAGAAATTTGGTGAAAATCTTTAAAATCGGGCAACCGCTACGCCTACCTCCCATATAACGGTAATTTACAGAAACACGAAAACTGCGATAAATCAGTAACTGCTGAAGCTAATTGAATCAAAATCGATTACTGCAATGACCATTGAGCATAAAATTAGAGTATTATAAACGTTTTCATTTTGGGCGTGGCTCCGCCCACTTATGACCACAAATGTGTATCTCGGTAACCGATTTATCAATTTCTACCAAGCTTTGTGCATTTAATAACCTTGGTACGAAAAATTAATTCGTTGAAAATTATTCAAATAGGACTAAAATTGCACCGGCTTCCCGTATAACGGTAATTTTCGGATATACGAAAACTTGGATATTTCAATAACTGAGGAGGTTCATAGACTTTTAGGTAGTTTAAAGAAAGGTGGAACGACGATAGTTGATACCTGCGCCGGGTATATAAAATTCGGTTTCGCCCGAACTTATACTTCTTTACTTGTTTTTTATTAACCATTTACGCGAATGTACTTAAGTGTATGCTTATATTATTTAGCTTTACAAATGAAAATCAATAAGCACTTTAAGGCCCGATAAAACATATTTGATATTATTTAAGGGTAAGCCCTTAAATAAGTATGGTTTTCATTAATTAAAAGAACAGTTTTAAAACAACATTTCCGAAAGACCTTCTGAAGTACATCCTACAAAGCCCTTCTGGAAGCTCTTCTTTGGGTACCGAAAGCAGAAGCCCTTTAATTTCTGCCACTCCATACAAAAACGAAGGAATGACTTTCAGAAAGGCCTTTTGAAAGAGATTTTAGCTCCTGCAATTATCTACTAGGTAGTATGTATGACCACCACTCAGCCGTGTACCTGTCCAGGAACTTTAATTTTTTTTGCCATTGGTTGAAGATAAAAAATTAAAGTTTTAACCAAATAAACTAAAACTAAAGAAAGTAAACTCAACAAATATTGTTCAACATGTTAGAAAAACCTTTCGTTATCACTTAACCCTTTCTTCATAGCAAAGAATTTGCCAAAAATGAAATGGGTGTCTGCTGCATTTATCTTCATTAAACAAACCAGGACTATTTGTCTAAAGCCAGGACGTATCCCGGAAAACCAAGGCATCTGGTAGTCCTATTCTACAGAAACATTTGTGTAGTAAATGTGCTTCATATTTCATATGGAATAAGCTTCTGTACTATATTGCACGGTTATCATATTAAAAGGGACTACACAGTCTCAACGTTTCAAATCTAAGTGACCATTAATTGAAAAATTGTTCGTTCTTTCGTTTCCGCTGTGGTTCTTATGCCCGGAAACTTTGATAGAGGAAATTTCTGCTGTTTGAGACATAGTTTTAGTTAAATTCTACACTAAGTAATTAGTTACTTCTTTCGATCTGACAATATAAGCTGCTTTTATAATGGGGCCGCGTGGCTGTCGTAAAAGTTTAATTCTTCAGAAAAGATTGTCAATGGCTTTCCTGCCATAAAAAACGGCCTTTTCAAAACATCCACGTTGATCTCGAGCTCATCCCCGTGAAGGATTTGATTTTCTTATCGACAATCTAATATTTCCTCTGAATGGCTATAGTTGGTTCATCTGGTAAACTGGCAATTAGTAAGTTGAGGCCATGTCGAATTGGAAAACTCATGAAAACCTACACTCGATTGGTGTGGTGTGCTTTCCAAGCAGAAGTAGCTGTCATTAAAGGAGGAGTGGATTTACTGCTGAAAACTGTGACGCCAGTAAAAGAGGTAAGCATATATTCTGGTAGTCGAATGGCTGTGAGGGCCTTGAACGCAATGGTGATGAACTTTGAACTCATCACGGAATGACTGACCAGCATCTCTGTTCCGTCGTCGGAGTACTTTTGCATTGTGATCCTTATGTCAACTCAGCGAACCTTTAGGCGAAGACTAGGATATGAGCAATTGCAAGATCCTTCTGACTTTGGGTTAGTCTCAGGGGCGGTCAAAGAGCTGTTAATGGCACTTCTGACGGGTCATTCTCCGATTGGCATTCAAGCAGTAAGGCTGGGAATCTCTACTGTCGCTGCTGTGAGGTAAACATGAGTTTCAATCACCTAAGTACTTTATATTGGGCTCCCACTTTGCGAGGCTAAGTTTGATGTATTTTGGCCTGGTCTTTCTAGCTATCCCTTAGAAGCTCTCGGGCAGTGAAATAAGACGAAACCCTAATTTCGTAATTGTCTCTGTTTAACCCATATGCGTGGTATCACAGGGGACAGTCCACTTAGTGTCCAAATGCGTTCCCATATCTGGGACAACAACCTAAACCAAACCTAGCCTACTCTAACTAGAAAATAGAAGGCCTAAAGTAAGAATTAACTTTCGCCCTCTACTCGTATTTCAATAATCCTACTGTTTCTCAAATTCTTTGAACACATTACATTTCCCTTTTTCATTCCAAATCATTAAAATGCTACCTTTCAAGTCAAACAGCTGATTGTGCAAAAATATACCTACGCACAACCGCTCTCACTCGCTCGAACTCCATTAACTAAACTCGCTACTCTCTCGCTGCTGCCACGCTCTGATGGCATGCGAATACTCTCACAGCAGAAAATACCCGGCTACAGCTCAAATTCCACGCCACACACCTGCAATTCCTTTCCGAAACGGGAGTAAGTGAAGTAATGCTGAGTAAGCCTACAGGAATTCGCTCTTTCAGAGTACAGGAATATACCGAATATTTTTGCACATACCTTGAATTTCGCTAGCAATTGCAACTATGAAGACGAGCGACAACGAGCACCGGCTGACGCGGCGTTCAGGGGCTTCGTTCGGCAAGTTATTCACCACACTTTGCTGTGTGTGCGTGTGTATGTGTGCGACCGGTTGCGTGTGTAAATAACTTCAAACTTCCTGTTGAACGAAAAAAAAAATTGTCTTATGCGCTCTGGCAACTGCTATGTGTACTTCCTGCCAGGACGTGAAAATTTCAGTTGAGGTTTGGTTATCGTACGAAAAGGTCGCAACTACGGTTGGCTTCGCGTCGATTCTATAAATTTTTTTTTCTCACGCAAACTGTTGATGAAAATGGATTTTTCTTTGAAAGAGTGAAAATAAAATTGTGCCATCAAAGAAGTGCGGAAATAAGTGAATGGATTATTGAATTGCAATTTAAGTGTTAAAGTGAAAAGTTGAACAGAAATAAACGAAAATAAAGTTTTATTTTGCCGGCAGTGCTGGCCGCTTTAACGGGCTATTTAGCTGCGGTAAGCTTTAAGGCGATGGTGAACTGTGAACTCAATGAAGCAAGTATCTAAATCCCTACAGCAAATCAATGCGCTTTAGCGACTTTAATATTCAGCGCATTTGACTACTGTTGCCTACCATTAGGCGCTTAGCATAGCACAACCGCAATTAGCGCCACCAGCAACAGCGCATTCTGTCGCGGTTAATCGCACAGTTCCGGCTGCGTTCGTTCTCGCGCGCGTTGCTTCGTCGCGTCTCGTCATCGTAATTACGCCAACATTGCAAATCGTTTTAGCGGCGTTTCGTTGTCAGCGTTTTGTTTATCTCTGACATCCGTTGCTCGTTAATTGCTATGTTTCATCGTCGGCGGCAGCGGCAGAGCGTCGTTGTCAGTCGTTCATGCCTGCCGTCTTCTTGTCTTGTTAATCAAATCCATTTTGGGTTTTAAGTGTGTGACAATTAATTTTTGCTGTTACCAGCAAGCGTTGCGGCGCAGTAGGCAAGCATTTAAGCTGTCTAATTGAATTGAAGTGTGTACATTGCGCAATTGAAGGCAAGTGAACTGGTGTTGGAGTGTGAGTGTGTGTGCTAGCGACAAGCGCTTGAAAACGTACGACTATGAGACTTCAATTTGGAGTTTAAAGCGCACTTAAGCGCCTTAAAGTAGGCTACATTTTTGGAAAAAAGCGCCTTTCGGATGGAATAGGTGGCTGAGCGCTGCGTGTAAAGCTGGATTTTGTAAAAGAAAATGTCTTGAAGAAGTTAAAGAACTGAAATTCTGAAAAATCAAGAAATAGTTTTTTTTTTTTTTATCGAAAGCGCGTGTGAGAAGTGTAAATATGGAATTTCCGGACATGGGCGTCAATCGCATGTTTTCTATACCCAAAGGCTAGCTAGCCACACAAAAAATTTAAATTTTTTTTTTAATTTTCAAGTTTTTTTTTAGAAAAATTTCTTGAAAAAATTTTAGTTATAAAAAATTGTGGAACTATGGTAACAAGGTCATTATGACTAGCAAAATAATATGCAAAACATTTCTTAAAAAATCATAAAAAAATTAAAGTTGAAAAACTAATAACTTAATTTGGAATTGTAACAGAAAAGCTATGAAGAATTACAAAATTAAATACGAACCTGTTTTTAAAAAATCGTAGAAAAATTTTACGTGAAAAATTCAAAACTTATTAAAAAATGTGGAATTGTAACAAAGAAGCTGTAATTAAACTTAAAATTAATGCGAACCTGTTTTCCAAGAATTGTAAAAAAATTTCAAGTGAAAAATTAAAAATTTAAAAATTAATAAAATACTAAAACAGTGCAATAACATGCTTTTCGAAAGTCGTGAATTTCTTCAAGACATAAAAAAAAATTAAAATTTTTTTTGTTTAAAAAAAAAATTCTAAAACCGATATTTACTTGAAAAAAAAAATCACCAAAACTTTATAACAAAAATTAAAAATAAGAAAATGAGTAGTACATACCTATTGTTGTGCTAGGAAAAACATCAAAACAAATACAAAAATACAAAGTCCTACTTGAGAGCATATTAAATTACGCAAACACTTAATACTAACGCAAAACAACGATTTATTCAAAATAAAAAAAGAAATCTAAAATATTCCTCATTAACAAAATATTCAAAATAAACCTTCAAAAGCCCCACACCAAAAAATGTTGCTGCTAGGCCTCTTCAGTCACATCCTAAGCAGTGGCAGATACATTACGACACGGCGCTCAAATGCCAGTCAACACATGGATTTACGTGTTATCTTCATACTTTTCCTGCTCAAATGGTCGTATGCACAAGGTAAGCGAATAAAAGTATAAAAAAAAAATATTATAATAAAAACAAACAAGTGAAATTTAGGCAAAAAGCGCGAAAAAAGCCACACAAATAGACAAACAAAATATCACAAAAAAAGTAGCAAAACAAATCGCCAAAAAAGTGCAAAAAAAATATAAAAATTTACGCAAAACAAAACTCAAAGCTCATTTAAACTTTTTGCTGTTAGCGTTGAAGTGCAATAAATTGTGTTTTTTTTTTGTTTGCTTTGCGTTATTGTTACGGCACATAAATGTTGGGCGTTTACCAAACGAGCTACAATAAATGGAAAAGTCTAACTTTTTTAGATGCCAACTTAAAGCGATAAGCGTGTGTTAATGTAATGTGTGTGTGTTTGAGTTAAAAGTAGATACTACTTCTCTCCTTCGGCTCCTTATACCTGTGCTTCAACATTGTAATGTTTCTGCGAGTATTCTGTGAACTTTGGTGTAGTTCTTCTTTCCTCCATTCATTCAGGTGTTGATAAAATTACTTCAAATGGCAGCAATAGACACGTAAAATGATTGCGTTTAATGTACAGTACGTGATCAATGGACTGAGCGAAATTTTTCGGTATACTTTCTATGTGTGTGTGTGTGTGTTTTTTTCATGTAAAATTGCCCTATTGAAGGTAGTTTGGTAATAATGGAATGTTTTGAATGTCCGTTCACTAGGTCAGGTGTTTATCTACGTACGTATGTATTTTTTTATATGTACTTGCGAGTACTTAAATACTTAATACTCGTTTGATGTTAAAATTCTTGAGTCAAGCAGAAACTATAATTTTACCTTTTCGTAATAAAAGATGTTTTTTTTTTCAAGAATGTTAACTAGGTTTCTGAAATTAGAATTGTCTTTCGAAGAAAATCACTCTTTATAAAGTAAAATGTTGGTACAAAAACTTAAAGCGAAAGGAAGTAGGTTTAAGATTTCTTCAAAATTTTCTTTTATATATTTTCGTTTTACTTTCAAAACTGAATATAGTAAATATCTTTAAATGTATGAAGTGTATATCTGTTGAGCTTTGTTAATACTTTCGATAGGATGGGAAGATAATTTATTTTCAAATGAATTTCCGTCATGCCTTGCCAAGCTTGTTATGGAAACAATCCAGTTTCGGCGTTGTATCGTATTCAGTGTAATTTAAAAAAAAAATGCCTTAATTGGAAAAATTACACTGGAGATGGTAAAACGCCGAAACCAGTTGTTTGTCTCTAAACCTAATTTTAAAATAAATGATGGAAATTCGTTCCAAAATAAATCAAATAAATATACCTTATTCCAAGAAATTTTTTAAATTTAAATTTACTCAACTAGGGGCTTTGAAAAGCGGTACGCAAATCTTGTATAGCTCCCTTTTCGACATTATTATAAAGGATTTAGGGTCAGGGGTTTCCCATATATCCATGGCTCGGAAAATATCTATGTCTATATATATATATAAACGGACGATCTAGACTTTTCGTAAAATTTTGGTTGAGGCTGGTTTTCACCATGCCATATTTGACGCCATATTTTGACGCCAAAATTTATCAACATATTTGACAAAACATTATCTCCTTTATGCAAACCCTTACTGGTAATATTATGGACTAAAACCGGACAGTTAGACGATTTAGCGGCGCATGTATGCAACTAAAACCTATCCTGATCGAAATATATCGATATACCGCTTTTGACAATCGGTTTTCTCTTATTTGACGACAAATGCCATTGAATTTGACACAGGGAAAGCAAGCCTTCGCAAATACGCTGTAAACCAGAATTAAAAAATAATATATATATATCTAAAAAACAGATTGAATAGCTTGATTAGCAATAGGTTTTCGCTAGTATTTTATCAAGCTTTTCTACACAAACTAAAAGTGTGAAAAATTAACTTCATAATTGAAAAATTACATGCATGGTTTTAGCGAGCTTTTGGAGGCGCAGAACGCCACAAATGCTTAGGACAAATTTAAAATTAGTTTGTTGAATTCTAAACACTTACAGCCCGATTCTGTGCACTTGATAAATAAAAAATGTTTATGATTTGTCCATTTTTTATTATTTATCAAGAATTGGAATCTAACAAAGAAATCGGAAGCTCTTTTCTTGATAATTTATCAAGATTGAAAATGCTATTGACAAGCGTTCACAAATTGAAATTTTATATGAAAATTATAAATTTTGTATATAAAAAAATTTGCTTCTATGATTTTAATATAGCATGTGCCGGCATTTGAACCTACTACACGCAGAATTCATAGCCGGCATCTCTACCTATTTACTCGGCTACGGCAGTCAAAAGCTTTTTTGCTTATAAATTCGTATTTTTCATATGTGACAATGTAATCAGTTCCACTCATGTGAAGGTCCAAGTCTAGATCTTTATTTATAATTCCGCAGTTCTGACTGCGTTTTGTTGGAATGTAATCTACTACTATGCACTTTCTAAGCAATCTATGCTCTTCGGTTCCGATTGCTGCGCATCATAGCGAATTAACTCATGTGTGTCCTCCTAAATGCATATTACACTCTACAATAGCAATGGACAAGTGGAAAATCTTTGAAAAGATATTTCATTTTGCAAATGTGCACCCAAAATGAATTTAATTTTTTAAACAGGTGGCAGCGTTTTCAAAACTATTTCTGTAGTAAGGATTTTCAAACATCTTTCGCTTGAATATTGTAATATTTCATTATATTTAGTTTAGCTTTCAAAGGCGTGGCAACCCTCTTCAAAAATTTTCGAAATAAAGCTTTCTTAAACCTGTTTCATTTGATATACAGTAAATTTTCATTAATCTCACTAATCAAATTTAACTAGACTTTTAAAAAGATGGCAACTCTTTTTAAAATATTTTGGAAATGAAGCTTTCCTTAAAATCTTTCGTTTGTCATGCATGTTGTAATATTTTAGTTAACATATTGATTGAATTTAGTTTGACTTTTAAACTGGTGGCAACCCTTTATAAAGATATTTTCGCAACAAAAATTTCTTATAGCTCTTTCGATTGACTGCTATATTATAATATTTTGTTCAAGATGTGAATTAAATTGAACTTGGAATTTATTCAAAGATATTTTCGAAATACATCCTTCTCAAACATTAGCATATCCTTTGACAACCATATTTTAAAACTTTATTTAACTTTAAAAACAATGGAACTTTACTTCTAAACAGGTGGCAACCCTCTTTGACTTATTTTCAAAATAAAGTTGGCTTAAATCCCTTTCGTCTGTCACACGTACATATATAGTCATCTTTTATTTAACCTATAGGTATAATTGAATTTAACTTTTAAAACAGAAGCTCTGCATCGTAAAGTATACTTAAAAAAAAAATGGTGTCGACAGATGGCGCCGGAGTCGAGATATTCGGGGAACCCATCTTTATCGTATGACCTGGATTAACGCGTACTAACCTTATGATAAGAAGTGCTTCTGCAAAAAAATGCACCCAAACATAGTTGGCACTGAAATCATGATATTTAGATGCCCCTCTACAAATTTACATTTAGATGACTTAATAAAGCCCCATTGTTTAAGCTCCACAGATATCCTAGGCACATCAACGGGTCATCGGTATACCAAGAAGATGTGTGCTGAGTTAGAGAAAACACGGTAGGAATATCAATGACCCCATTTGAAAGGGAAAACTGTTTAACACTCACGCACTCTCGGCAAACCTTGCAATACTTGCAGATATCTCACAGGGGGGCAATAAGAGCTCATAGCATCGAAGGAGATGAGTACTTAACCCAAATGTTATCACAGCGCTATTTTCTTTGCCTATGAGTAAGCAAGGTTCTGCTCTTCAGTCCTTTCAACCTAAACTAATAATTTTTAGATTACAAACCGTTTTGCATAGCAACACTATTTTTGTATTGGTCAACGCAAAAGTTTTTATAAGGCGTTGCGAAGCAAGCCAGGCATTTGCTAGTTTATAATAAATATTAGTTGGATTATAATGGTTTTGAGGAACAACTAGAGGGCTTAAGTCGCCAAGAACTTTAAGATGAAAGAACCCTCAGCAAGCTGACTTTTTCTGCTCAACTGCAAAACAACAATATTATTTTCGTTAGCCTCGCAAATTTCCCATACAAATTAGAATATATCGACCCCTTTGCGCGAAATTATCGTATGTGCCAGAAATCAAATTTTACAGGAGAGTTTTATTTTACTTTTAAAATTTTAAAAAATTTGTTTTTTTACTACGTACGAACTACTTTTTATGGCACGTACGATAATTTCGCCCATAAGAAAAAATGCATTGTAACATGAGATTTTATGGAAATTGCTTTTTTTCTGCTAAAGAGATAGAGTATATTCGATTAAGAATGTCCACGATTTAGCTTTCCCTGATTCCATATATACACATTTGATGTTGCCGTTTTTAGCCTTTTTTAAGATACTTGCTTTTTTTTTGCCTATTATACCTTTAAAAAAAGTGATTATAGCGAGGAAAAAATCCTCATTCCAGATAATATAAAAGTTACAAACGTTTCATATTTAAATTGGGCGCCACTTGTATTAACTCACGTCGAGCGCTCGCTTAGTACATTCAGGGCTGTATTAAAGCCTGTTCCTTTGGAAAAAAATTTAAGCTACCAATGACGAAAATCGTTGGATAAATAAAGAAGAAATAAGTGGTCTTTCGAAAATGCGCACAGCTTTTTTTTTGTATGAAAAATTAGCAGGAAAGAGTGTTACTCATACGCCATGTAAACCTCAAAGTATCTCGAAAACTTATCCACAGAATAAAAATTTAACTCGATTTTCGGAATCAGCAAGCAATTTTATATGGGAATTGGATATGTAGAGTCGTCCATTGAACATTTTTCCTGTAAACCAGTTTTATCTTCATGTTTTTTTTTCTTTTTTGGTGCCTTCTTTTGCCTTTTTTGCTATTTCTAGTGCCTTTTCCTGCCTATTTCGTTATTTTATTTTGCCTTTTTTATAGGTTTTTAAATCCTAAAAATCCGTTTCCTATACATAAGTAA